CACCCGTGGCCATTCGGCTCACCCTGCGGGCACCTTATAGGGAAATCGACCCTGTAGAGGACCTTGCCGAACCTTGGCAAGGTCCATGTCCCTGGCAAGGTCATGTGCTGTCCACCCTGGCTAGATACGGCCCCGGACGGGTTGTGAACCCACACGTTCGACCGAAACAGATACGCCCAACATGCCTCACATCACCGACGAATCGACACAGGGGAGACATACATGTCGTGCGGAAGACCGGGAAAAAAAAAATGAAAAAAAACGAAAATGAATTTACCACACTTCTTCCTCACAATTTTAAAACATGCAGCCCTGTCACTATTTCCCCGTCTACATTCGCATGTTCGCGTACGTGAAAAAAAAAATAAAAAAAATCGTGGACATCACGCAATAGATGTCGCGGCTGTGATGCAGGGACATGTCCCTCCAACCCGCAGCGCGCTGTATCAAACAGGAGGCATCGCCGTGCTGCCATCGCCCTCCATTCCACAAGGACTGCATTTTTGGCGCAAGGTTAGCAAAAGCGGGGGCGGAGGGGCACGGCGAGTTGTGATCGGGTCGCATCAAGTAAGATCCGGGCGGATGAGCCAACGAGCATTTACCTACAGGTCTCAGCACTACTAAGCGATCCGAAGTACATATATGATTGCATTTTTTAGGGTGGGCTCATTGCAACTCTCACCTCTCTCCACTGACACGACTGGCGTGCTCAGACGAAGGTGTCTTGGTTGATGGAGTGGTGACATTCGTTGTACAGGTATCTATCGTACCCAGCGGTACCCGGCGTTGCTTGGCGGAATCTGTGGCGCCAAACACCACCATGGGACGAACCCCCCCCCCCCGCCACCCCGCAAAATTGAGAGCCGTCCGTCTCAGGGTCGCCGTTCAGTGGGCATGCGTGGTAGAGATGCACCTGCCGATAGATGGCCGAGACAGGGTAAACCTCCGGACGACCGCGGGCTCGAAGTTGCAGCGTCGGATGCCCGGTGACGGAGTCGGTGACGCGGTCGTTGGCGTGACCAATTCCGGTGTATTCATATCCGAGCACCCACCACGTGAGCGGTGGTGGGTGCCCGCCCATTAGAGGCCGATTCCCCTTGTGGCGGAAGAAGTACAGAACCTTTACCAGGTTGAGGTCCCGAGGATCCGCACGCCCCACCTCGGCCCATGCGGAAGCTTGCTTGTGCACCTCCACGTTGTCTCCCCCGCCACTCCCGAGTGCCCATTCGTCACGCGGCCCAGGTTGCGAAGTAGACTTGACATCACCCCCCTTCAAGCGACCAAGGCCACAGCTCGCAGCCATAGGCACCCTGATGCACCGGGAGCAGTCGATGGAAAGGTATTCGAGGGCTCCATCTCCGCCCCAGCAGTTCGGGCAGCGACTGCTTGTGCACGTACCCGACATGTCGCACCCGTAGTACTTCTTATACCCACGCAGCAAGGTCTGCCCGTCTGGGCGAAATTTGCTGGACGCCACGCGAAGAAGCCAGTCGCCATCTTGTCGCTGCTCGTCTCCGGTCTTGAACAGAGACGCTGTCCAAACTGCAGACCCCGGAAACTGCCCTCTCAGCTGTGCCGGCGTTTGAACCGCCTCGGCATGAATGTCCGTGGGCACGCCGTCGTGGCCGACCAAGCTCGCCAGCGACTTCATGAGCCGGACGCAGCCATCACCAGGTCGAACGGAGACGATCTCGTGCACTCTATCCTGTCGGTTGTATCTGGTGACGCTGTACGGAAGTCCGTTGGACAACGCCAAAAGAGCGCTGTTGACGTTCGCCCGCTGAGCCATGTGCTTTGAAGGGTTTCTGCCGCAGTCCACACTCCTTCCAGACTTGTTTGTCTGGTGGGTGTGTTCACACGTACTCGCGTCCGGGCATAGTCCTAGTCGTTTTTCGTTCATCGTGTGTTTCGGAGCCGGCGATAGAGGTCAAAAACGGTTGTGCGTGAGAATTCAGAGCAACCTGGGCGGTGTAACACTGTTCTTGGTTTGGGGGTGTTGAGTGGTGAAAAGAGCGAGTGGCGCGCGCAACCCCCTCGTCCATGGTAGTGTTCTTTCCGTGGTGTGCTTAGCAACATCAAAGCAGCAACCGGTTTTCAATAACGCCACATGAGAATTTTCGGGCAGAAGGTGGTGCGGCTTAGAGGTAACTTTCCCCACGACTCCCATTCGCGCTCCACGGAAAGCCGTTCAGACGTTTGATCGATGTTTGTATCATGTCTTGCAGGTGGCTGCGGTCGCTCTCCTCCATACACCACAACCCACATTCCCAAATTGGCGCAGTACCTTGTTCTGCTGGTTTTTCGATACCTTTTTTTATTTTTCTTCCGAGTGGTATGTAACCTAATTTGATTCAGCACTAGCGTGACGCAAGCCTCCAGGGGGGGCAGTTTAGACCCGCAGGGTGTGTACGTACCATATTTCTGCTCAGTTTCTAGTCGGCGAAGAATGCGCCCAGTTGTGTGACCACGGGCTCCCTCGGATGTTTTGGAATATAGAGCTAATGTGAGAAACAAACTACAAACTAAAGAAAAAAACATTCCCAAAAAACATTCTCACCATGCAGGCGAATCGTCTCCACCGTATGCAGGATGGAGTGTATTGTGGGCCGCGATCCCGTCCTCCCCATTATCTTGGAGAACGCCTCGACCTGACAGATGAGTATGTTTCGTGTCATGACTCAACATGTTCTCCACCCTCAATTAAACGCCCAAGGCTTGCAATCAAACACACCGTGGATTTGGCACTACGTCCGCGCCTTTGGTTCTCGAGACTGAGGTTCTAAAGTGCCGCGTGTGAGCGTAGGGGCGACGACGCATCAGGGCGTGGCGACGCGGCGGTTGGCGCGCGCTCGTGTGCCCTACATGAGTGTCCCACGGCATGCAAATGAACGTTATGCGTGACCCTGCTGACGCGAGGGGCGAGGGCGAACTAATCATGCACCTACAGTCATGCACCTACAGGCAGAACATACCGCATCACGAGCGAGCTTGTCTAGTTGCCGTAGCTCAGGTTCGGTGAAAGATGGCGCACGGAGGGCGAACGACAGGAGAGACGACCGTATCATAAGCTCCCGCAGCGCTTCCAGTAGACCCTCGTATGTTCCCCACTCCGCTTTCAGGCCGTTAATCTCCCGTGTGTTCATGTTTCTCCTCTGTCAGGTAAACACGATGGCCAGGAGTCATGCGGCATCGACGAACAAGGGCCAAGGTAGCAACGAGTGTCGTGGTTAAAGTGCCGACGGATGACGCAGACAGCTGTATACGCCGCCATTGTGTGGGGTACGTTCAGCGGGGCATGTGATTCCCGCGGTAGAACGTGTGGGCCTGTGCTACTGATTTGTCTGCGCAAGGACTTTCGAAGTACAATTTCTACGTGTTAAGTGGCACCCATTTTGCTCGAGTGGCCGTGTGTGCGCCGCCAAACCAAATGCCGTATGCCTATTAATGTGGTCACTCTCGTTCCGTAGCGAGATAACCACAAAGTTGTATCATGTTATTCTGCGAGCGGTGAGTACGTTGGTTCAGCGGCAGACTAGACTTTGGGCAGGATATATCAGCAAATGCTTGCGTTGCACACACAGCCACCAGTACCAAGAATCCCGGCTTCTAGCGGGAATCCCCAACCCCATTACATAGCAACAGGTGCCTACCATGGCCGGAACATTCTGAAGAACCATCCGGAACACCAGAAGCATGATCGATTGCAGCGTCCACTTGTCGCTCCCAGTCAGAGAAGCGTAGTTCGTGACTATATCCTTGATCTTTCCCGTTCCCGGTGGGTAGAGCAAAGACGGCTTCTGCGCCATGATGGCGCCGACAAGTCGGCGACCTGCAGTGGAGAGCATCTCCAAGAAGAAAATCTGGCACAGCTGACTTTGCCCCTACCGTAAAATGTTGGTGAGGGAGATGCCGCGCAGGAAAAGAGAGAAAGTCGGGCACTTAGCCCAAGGAGGGTCGCACATTCGGCCAACGAGGTGATGGTTGGGGCGAACACAAATAGCGTCGTTTACAGCACTTACTCAAAAGATGACCGTAATCATCGGAGTTTCCCCCCCCCCTATATGTGTTCCCCCCCCCCCCCCACACTTTTTCGGCCATGATTTACCCCCGGGGGATCGGGTTTCTGCGAAAAAAAAAACAGTTCCCCCCTGGTATTTTAATTTCCCCCCGGGGTTCCAAGTTTCGCGAGCGTTCCCCCCGCGGGGGATGCATATCCTGCTCTTTGCAGCCGACTTTTTTGTTCATCGCGAAGCACTGCCAGCATGATGAGTGGTACAAACATCATGCGCTTCTACCATTGGGGTCGGGCACTGATACTTGTTGGGCAGAGTGTTTTATTTTAATCTTGCATTTATTCTCGTTGTCGTCCAAGCACGACCAATGTAGCAAGAAATGAGGCTGAATTCCGTATGACGAACAATTTTAACACTTCTTTCATTTTTTTTCCTACTCAACTCATCTACTTTGTAGCCCCATGCGTGGGACACCATCCGCACTACTCCCCCAGCTGCTTTTCTCCACGGTTTTCTTCTCTTCCCCGCCAGGTCCCGCATCCACCCTGGAGCGCTTGAACTGTTGCTCATAGACTCTATCCATCGCTGGTAGGGTACTCGGTCTTTGTGTGCTGTTTCTCATCCCCCGGGGTGACTTTCCCCCAGGTATGTTAATTTCCCCCCTGGGTTACAGCGTTGGAAAAAAAACAACCGTTCCCCCCCGGTATTTCAATTTCCCCCCGGGGGATGTGATTTCAAAAAACAATTCTTATCCCCCTCCGGGGGGAAAACTCCGATGATTACGGTAAATGGCCAAGGTTTTGCCCTACATTCGGTGTCCGACGTGCAGTTCAAAAATAGGATCAGTAAATCACTTACCAGCGCATCGAAGTGCAGCCGCTCGACGGGTACGTTCTCCGTGGGAACAACGCGCATGGCGTCATACAGCGGTAACGGGAGTCCTGACGCGTCCGGCTCAACCAGCCCCAACTCTTTCGAGCGTCGTTCCAGCTCTCTTGGGTCATCCGCTAGGCCATGAAGCTCTTCGAAGCCCTTCGTTATCTGGCCCCATGTGCGGCGGTGCTTGTCGATGTCGAACCTTGGATTCCCCAGATCGCCGCTGGTGTCATCCGTCCGCTGTCTCACCATGCAGTAGGCGCACGGGTGTCTGGACCAGCTGTTGGGAGCCTTCGTGCCGAGGAACTTCGATCGCCCTTGGCCGTCCCCACACATCAGCAGCAGACCACCACGCACAAATACCTAACGGGCAGCAGGAATATTGCGTCATCGTGGGTGGTACGAGTGGTGGCGACATGGACGGCAATGCTATTGCATCATGATATGTTCGGTCCGAAAGAAAAATGAGTCGTCGAAAGGAAAAGGAGTCGACTGCACATCCACAAAATACCCTCCCGTAGATGAAAATTAAACTCAATGCTGACGCGAAAAATGTGCGTGGTGGCGCCAACACAGCCGTCTGGGGCAATTCGCACGATCAAAGGAGTCGACTGCACATCCACAAAATACCCTCCCGTAGATGAAAATTAAACTCAATGCTGACGCGAAAAATGTGCGTGGTGGCGCCAACACAGCCGTCTGGGGCAATTCGCACGATCTTCAAGCATCTTCGTGAAGCATCCCATCACCACAGCGTGTGACACGGATTCCGGACAGGGCAGCAGTTGTATGTTCCTCAGAAGTTGGATCTATTGGACCTTTCGTGTAAATGTCAAGTGCATTCAAGGTCCGTGAATTTCGGGCGTACCTCTTGCTCAAACGCCGCCCCCTCTTGGTCTGTGAGCTTGGCGCGTCCTAGGCACCCATTCTGTAGCAGTCCGAGTACTTCGCACTGCAGACCGATCTCTCCCCGGCAACATGCTCCGGGGCTCGCAAGAGTGCCCACGTGCGACTGATGTTTCAACCGCTGAACCGCCGGCGCGCGCCAAGCCCATCCAAAGTAGGAGCCTCCTACAGAATGCTGCGAAGCATAACAAAGAGGCATATACGTGTGCGCGCAAACCAATGGTCACGGAATCACGCGGAGACACTGCGTTTTTTTGCACCGTAGGAAAAACTTAGGCCACCGTCGGGACATGATGTCGCCGCAACCTCTCGTGGTGGTCCCGAGTGTATCAATTGCTTCGGTTGCACGTAGACAAACTACTCTGTTGCGCGCTACCGTGGTCAAGCCGCACTCACTCTTACCTTGCAACCCATGCCGAACGCGTTGAATGCATCGCAGTTAAACACCAGCGATGCGGAGAAGAAGGGCAGATCCGTGTCGTTGAAATGCACTCCCGAACGTCTCAGCCCCCAGAGTGGCCTCTCGGCGGGCCCTTCCATGCACCAGGGCGACTCCGACACCGTGAACGGTTTAGGCAGGTCGCTACTCTGCAAGGGCCGCTTAGTGCCGGTCCGTCTCACGAAACCTTCCCCGACAAAGCGATCCCATGGGAAGTTGTGCCCCCCTTGACTCCCGCCAGCCGGCGCCATTTCGTGTGGCGTCTCCATCTCCACCAGCCCCAGAACAGCGTCGGCCTTCAACTCCACCTCGCCGTCGGCAGTGCAATCTTCCCACACCCGTAACAATCCACCACGTCTCTCCTCTTGGCGCACTCCCCGCACCTCGCTCACCCCCCTGAACAATCGCACGGTCACTATAACCAACTGACGTGCCTCGTCGTAGAAGATCTTCAGCATGCGACACAGCGTTACCACTCCCTCGACTTCGGCCACGCATGTGTCGTTGACGTAGACCTTCCTCCCGCACACTCTAGCTCGTATGCCGTCGAAGCCGAAGAATGGGGTTGATCTTGCCAGAGTGCCATTCTGGTTGGAGTTCATGACATTGCCCTCTTGCCGTGTTGGCACGCAATTGATGTGGTCGCTCGTCAGACGATTTGCGGCGGCTTCTTCTCCGCGTAAGATCTTGCCTCCCGGGTAGGCCTCCGAAAGTGCCGTCTCCGACTGAATCTGCATCACACGATCAAGCAGAAGATTGACCGGGATGTCGTAGACAGACGAGGTTCCCCCGTCGTGCGTCGAAGGAACATCCCGCTCCAGGAGCTGCAGCATGGGCAAATACGGGCGCATGCGACCATAGAAATGCTCGGGGTCTACGCCTGCGAGCCCGTTCACGTCAAACGGTTGGCCCTCGTGCAGCAGCAACAGTATTTCTAAAAGCCCTCGCAACGCCCGCTTAGAGATCCGGTGTACGTGGATCCACACGAAGAGTAGCTGCTGCTCCTTCGTAGCGAAGGGGTAGAAAGGAGAACCACGGGCTTTGGTGTTGTGTCTCAACTTCTCCGGCCCGCCCTCTGCCGTCTTGCACGAGGCAAAAGACGGTGCCATCGTGTGAAGCACATCTAACCTGGGGACAGATGACGCGCCACCACCATCCTCGGGAAGCAAAAACACCTCAGGCTCACTGCAGGACCCTCGGTTGTCGACGTCCCCCTGGAAATCGTCGTACCGTTCATCGTCTAAGCCGATGTCGCTGTGCTCGTCCCCGCAGTCACTGCTACCATCCTCATCGTCTGTGCCCGTGTTCGTCCCGATCACCGCAAGATTCTTCTCGATCCTCGCCATAACATCGTTGATCCCACCATCATCGCCGACGCCATCATCATCTTCTGGTGGACCATCGGCGCTTGGGAAATCGTCGCCCGCACCACCGAAATCGTCGCCCACACCACCACCGAAATCGCCGCCAGCACCACCGAAATTGTCGCCTGCCCCGACATCGTACGTGCTGATGTCGGGCATATCATCTCCACAGGATCCCGCTTCTGCAAGGCGGCACAAACAAGACAATGGTTGTGAACCCATGAGCATGAACCGAGAACGCCCCGCATAGTTTGGGATGTCTTGTTCGGATGAACGCGTTATGGAGGATAAAAGGGTCAGCACATGCGGTGTGCGCTGCTCGTGCGGTTTCTTGTTACAAGTATTGCATGGCGTCTCATCCGAGCCACCAGGCCCAAAGTCTATGTTCGTGATATATCCCGCATTTTTCCATTGACGTGCCACATGCATCCAAGGTGAACAGTACTCCACTTTCAGGAGAGTAGGGCGCCACGTTTCCGTCCGTCACCGATAGTGTGTCAAGAAGGGGAACCAATATTCTTTTCGAGCCGGCGCACGACGGCGGGAGTCAGCAAAGCACCTCGGTCTAATATCTACAAAGTTGCCTGCTTGCTGGTTTAAAATTCAAACCTATGTGTGCTCCCGCACCGGCTATGTTTTGTCCATCACACACTTGTCGCACCTTGATTATCGTCTGTTGCACCGTTCTCTCGTTCCCTGACGACTGGACGTGATGACCCTGCATCCTTGCGTACACTGTCCTCCCTGGACACGGTGATGGTGTGCTGCCGCCGTGCTGACGGTGCGGACAAGTTGAACGGATTCAAGACGAGCCTATTGCGGCTGTCACGACGGCAATTACACCGCTCCTGTAGGCGCCTTTGAGTATATACCTCGCCGCATTCTTCACACGTCCAATTCGCACTAACACTCAAAGAGTCTCTTGATGGCCGTTGCCCCCCCCCCGACGAACCTGACATCCCTAACGGGCCTGACATGCCGGAGTTTGCTTCGTGCCAAAAAAAAACCCGCCGCAATAGGGGCTCCGTATAATGATATGAGTATATGTGTAATATTCCACGCTGTGACACCCCCTTCCAGCCAATTTTTTTGTGGCAAGCAGCACCATTGCTCCGTGTTCCCACATCACAATATAGGGGAATAGAGTGGGAGAACCGCCGCAATAGGGGCTCCGTATAATGATATGAGTATATGTGTAATATTCCACGCTGTGACACCCCCTTCCAGCCAATTTTTTTGTGGCAAGCAGCACCATTGCTCCGTGTTCCCACATCACAATATAGGGGAATAGAGTGGGAGAGGAAGCTGCCGAGTGCCGAGGCTCAAGTACTGGACCCGTGAGATGTGAGATTTCGTGGTTTTTGGCTTTCCCAGCGATGTGTTTCCTCCCCCGCGTTGGTCTTTTCGTTCATTTTGCCGTTGCAACAAACGTTCACTTATCTCTGGGAGAGTGTGTCGACCCCACCTCGCTCAGTTCACACCACATCCACCTCCTCTTCTCTCACACGCCACTCCCTCCGCCACCGTCATTCACCAATGCCTCCATCTCGTCGTCGCAAAGGTCAGGCCACTGCGGCCTCTCGCCCGCCGCTATCTGCCGTCAGCGACAACAACGAGCGTGGGCGCTCTGCTCGCCGCACGACCACCGCGCGCGCGCGTCAAGCCTCTTACTCCTCTCGCAAGGGGAAAGGACCCAAGAGAACTTCCGCCGCAGCCTCGGTGGTAAGTTCGTGCAGACGTAAGCAATATGTTCTCCTCTCCGCCAACGTTGGCCTGTTCGTGTTGTCGTTCTACTACAGCGCGGGTCCTGGGGTTCTTTTGTGCTTGCCGCGCAAAAGCCGTTAGCTTTTTGCTTTTTTTGCCCAATTTTTTTGAAAATCGTGCGTCCTGTGTCTCGACACCTTTGTTGGTCACGCCCTCTCGGTTGTCCGCATCGGCGACGGGATGAAGAGTAGAACCATATTGTCGAAGTCACACCAGACGTGTGTGCATTCCCTCCTGCAGAATCTCCTCGAATGCGGCGAAAGATGGGTTCCGTGAAAAGAGATGTTTTCAAAAATAGCCGTATTAGTTGGTATCGCGGGCATCCCATCACCGCTGGTGTTGTCGGAGCCAGAGTTGATCGCCTCGAAGCGCTGTACCATCCGAAACGCGTGTTCAACTTTTTCTCTTTTAATCTATACCTGAAGCAGAGACGTTGTCTTTACCGTTGGCGAGGTCGCTGAAGAGAGGTGGGACGCCCACTATTTCAAATCCAGACCACCCAATTTCAAACCATCACACAGTTGCCTGCAGCTTGACTCTCAATCTGCGTTGTGCCGGTCACCACACTGCCTCGGAAGCGAGCCTGCGGTGTTTTTATGGGGGGTGGGTTCCAGGATCCGTACGACAAACCCACGTACTACCCTCTGCTGTCTTGCCCTCTTGACATAACTCTTTTTTGTTTTTTTGTCGCGGGCCCCGTAGCGTTCATTTGCCGCGCGGCCTAACCCCCACTCCCACCCGACCCCCTGTTGTAATAGTCCCTGGGCTTGAGAGATGTGCGAGTCCGGCAAAACTGCATGTAGGTTTGACCGGGTGTTGTACGCCCCATTCACATGTACCCTTATTCGCCCCACCCCATGTCGCGGCAGGCCATCTTTAGTGGTGAGCGTTTCTGTCCATGACCCACCCGCTACTCGCTGACGTATGCACCTCCCCCCCCCCCCCCCCCCCCCCCCCCCCCCCCCCCCCCCCCCCCCCCCCCCCCCCCCCCCCCCCCCCCCCCCCCCCC